ACTCCTGCATACCTCCTAACAGTGTGGTTTTCTGGGTGGACAGAGGGACAGCTGCTCCCTGAGGAACAAGTGGATTTGAATAGAAAAATGCTTTTTAAAATTTGTTTTCAACATTAAACTATTTCTGACTGTTTTTACCTCTGGGACGTCTGCATTCATTCCTTTTTCTCCTACCAGGGTCTCTGTGAGCTTTAGAGGAGCTGAGACGGACTGTGAAAGTATATTTGCTTGCATGTGTGTTGATGCGTTGTAAATATAACACGTTTCATTCGCTCGGTGTTTCTGACAAAGCGGTTGTTGTGTAAAGGTGAGAGGTGAGGGGTCAGTGTGTCGGCTGGAGTGTGTGTCTGGTATTTGTCAAAGCTGTGCAAGAAAAGGAAAGAAAACACACAGAAAAACCAACACAGAGGTATTCTGGTACACAATGGTAGAAGAAAAAAAAACTGTGGAGCATCCCAAGTCCATCAGAGGGGGCAGATACCTTATTTTTTTATCTAGGGTTTAGTTTAATTAGTATGTTTAGGAGGCCCTTTAAAAGAAAAATAACTAATATATTCATCATAATTTCATTTCTATTTTATTTACCCACCAGATCCATTCATACATTTTATGATATTTTATTTTTTTAAATCCTAATATTTTCTGATTCTCTCCCCTTAATTATGATTATTTCTGTCACTTTAAAGTGTTTTAATATTTCCATACTTCTTGTTCTGCTCAGTTTCCCCAGGCTGATTGTCCTCTCTAATTGCCCCCTTTGTTAATTGCATTTGTTTCAGCACCATCTAGTGGCCGCTAGTAGTAACTACAGCTCTCTGAACAGCACCTTATTTTACAACATTACTCCTCCTGGTTTATTGGATTCAAGTAACAACTGATCTTAACTGATGATCTTCATGTTTAGCTTGTTTAGGTTTTGTTTACTTTAAAGAGCTAAACGTTTAGTTAAGGGAACAGAAATGATACATTTTTGATCACATGCTGAAAGGTGACCTAAAGTATGCCACCATGTTCTACTGCACACATCTTACATGTGAGTTTATCAGGATTGAGGTGTTTAAGTATCGACTCCATCAGGCTGTTTGAGGAGCCGATGGCCTTCAGTAACTCAGAGGTTTTCTGATGAAGTTCTCTGCAGCTCTGTGATTCAAATCAGTTCAGTTATGTCAGAAATAGTAAATGAATGAGGGAAAACTCAGGGGCATCCAGTTCCTCTATGTTGGTGGTTCTGATTTACTTTTACATCCCACCTACATACAAAACATCCCAGTGTTAAAAATCTGCCCTTCGTAGCTTTTAACACCAAACCTAAACATTCATGCAATTTATGCAAAGGACATTTTCCCTCCAACTGAATCTGAATAATTCTTTCCTTTTATATATTTCCGTCTATTTCTTCTCAGTTAAACAACCTTAATCCTGTATTTACTCTTATATGTCAGTTCCTGGGTCTGAGCCAGACTAAAAAGCCCTGTAAATGTTTTAAAACCCAGAAATGAATGCAGAGCTTTGAGTTTTAAAGTCTCTTTAGGGGTATGGAAGCTGCAGAGGAGAACAGTGGGATTCAGGCGTTGCTCCGTTTACCGTTGTGTCATTTTCCTGACAAAAATTGTTTTCTGTTAACCTTCAGCTAATTGCCTTGTCGTTGAGCGTACATCCACCAGCTACTGTAGACGTCCCATCCAGCTCTGAGTAGAACTGTTCTCACGATCCTCAGAGACCTGCTTCCTGTCTCAATGACGGCGGTGAAATTAGGCCACACTGGCATCAAAAGGCTGGAGCCATCTGTGAGCCGTTAGACGAGGCTGAGGGAGCAGAAACAACAGAAAGTGACCAAGGAGAGTTTATGGCCCCTCAGCAGCCTCTTTTCATACCTCGTCTGGTTTCATTTCCCCCCACCCGTGGTGTCGTGAGGTGTATATAAGTGCTGTGAGTACCTCTGCTGCTCTGTGTGTTGTTTTTTTTTTTCAGGGTTTATTTTTTGGTGTGATTGTGGTCCTTCAGGCAGGAAGGGCCCCGGCTGAAGCCTGCAGCCGGGCTGGGAAGGAAGGAACAGAGCAGCACATTGTACGGGACATACTGGGGGAGCTCAGGGTGCAATCTGATCCGGCATCCTGCCATCACAGAACCACACTGTCCACTGTCCCCCCCAAAAAAACACACAGTCTTTCTAACTTGGCATGAACCCTTCCCTTCCAAACTCCGCCTCTTATGGCTCTCCTCCACCTTTTGGTTTACATGCAAATCAGTCCTGATGATGAAAATCTCACTCAGTGATCTCAGTAGCTTTATTTATTCTTAAAGGATTGTTTAATGATAAAAAAAAAAATCATATAGATAAATTATGCATGGTAAAAATGTATTCTTTTTTCTGTCTTTAAAGACTAAACTTGATCTTAGATCTTAAATTCTCCCTTTAAGCTGATGTCCTGATTGTTTCTTTCGCGTTTCCCTTCACCTGCTCCTCCTCCTCCTCTTTCTGCTCCTCTCCTCCTTTCTCTGCTCTCTCTGATTCACAGTGACATTACAGTCTGTGGTCCAGACACCCAGAAGCAACCTGAATGCTCTGTTTGGCCTGGATGGATAAATATTTCCATCTGTGGACTCTTTTCTCTAACTGTGTCTGTCATTAATACTACGAACAAACACAGGGACGTGTCACACTAGATAAAGGTTTTAAAAAGCTGCTCTAAGGTTTGGCCACGTTTTTAGGACCAACTTTTCTTACTTGTGTAAATAATGTGATTCTGAGAGGAGCTATTTTTATGAAAACAACATGTAATTTGTGCCAGTTTGAGATTGATCAGAGAAACAATCTGGTCGTGGTTTGACCGCACATTTTAAACTGGAACATATCTTTGACGTTTTAGCAGATTAAATTACTTACTGTGAGTTAGAATCTTTTTTTTTTTTAGTTTAGAACATTTATGCATATTTATTTATTTTGTCAACAAACATGTGAAAGCTTTGAATAGATCTTTAACACAGAGCTCTTTGCATGTGGTTCCTCTGAATGTCCTCCATGTATTCAGCAGTTGGTGTCATACTTTATGTCCTGCTGCACTTTTCAGACTTTCTCATAGTGGGACTCCCTTTTTCATGGTTGGAGTGTAAATATTTTTACTTTTTCTATTTTACCAGAACCATGCCTCACTGACTGCAGGTTTAATATGGGTACAACAATAATAAAGACTCTCTGGTTCACTTTGAACACAGACTAATGACCAAATTCTGGAAAAAGTGAGAACAGCTTTACTGCTTCCTTTTTTAAGAACTTTTTCTTAAAATGACAGGAAAAAATTATTTCTACTGAAAAATTCAATAAAAAAGTAATAGATTCATCCAAAAGGAAAATTTAATTAAAATCAAAATGTAAAATATTACTTTTATTTAGGTTTTTGTTTTGTTTTCTGAACTAACAGAGGTGGGGAGAGGACCCAAAACATTATCATAGTCCTGCACTACTTTAATATTTTTTTCATTCAAGTAAAGGTAAGAAGGAGTTATTCAAGAAATTACAAGAGTAAGATTAAAGATAAAGCGGGTAAAGGAAAATCAAGGAAAATAAGATTTTTAAAATCCATGTTGATGTTTCCCATTGCTTCAGTGATAAAGTTTTCAGGTTTTACCTTGACTTTCAGCTAATGTCCAGCGGAGACAGGCGGTTATAGACAAGTGATGGATTCTATGAACTATTTCCTGATATTCTTCATTAATAGTTTTCAATCTTTCTTTTATTTAACCTTCACAGCTCCTGAGGGTCCAATTGACTAATTTAAGATACGATCATAAACAGGCAGCACCCTGAATTATCCTCAGTTAACAGAGCTGGAAAGTAACCAGTTATGTTTACTTGAGTAACTTTTTGAAAAGAAAAAAAAAAACAAAAAAACTTTTAGGAACAGGCATTCACTGTACTTTTTAGTATCATATATTATCAGTGGTAACTTGTGCAACAGCAGTAAAGAGCAGATACTGTTGCTTGACCTTCTTTATCTTATAATGACAAATATGAATTACTTCCTGTAAAGATCATTTTTATACATTTATGTTGATTTAGAAGTCTTTTTTTTCTCCCCAAATCTCTTATTTTGTTATAATTTTATTTACTTTTATTTTATTTTTTTTAATTCTAGACTTTTATATTTCCTTTCTCTCTAGTCACATCATTTAAAACATTAAATCAGAGGCTAGAAGCCAATAATTACTCAGTATACAAGTGGAAAAAGGGAAAATCAAGCATGAACACATTCATAACCAAAGAGTTTAACAGGAACCATAATGCTGTGTTTTAGGCTGTAGGAGGAAAGAAGTGAAACCCAGAGAGAATCCACATTCTCCCACATTTAGCATCTGCAGAATGCCAGTGAGCCACAGACAATAATAACCTGAAGGTTAATCCCAGTTTGTGAAAACAGGATGTTTGTCTACTGCTTACTGCTTATTTTTATATATCATAAGTATTTTTATATCAGAAAACAAATTCTGCTTTATGCCCCCTAAGCATGGATCTCTGTGATGACAGGAGTTTATATGAGGTAAACTAGGAAAGGCCTGTAAAACTTCAGGTGAACATTAGATTGAGTCAGCAGTATCAGATCAACAGCCACTTGTTCCAGCTGAAGAATGTGAGCAGAAAAGAGGCCACTGTCTGCTTCAGATGTAAGCTGAGCTTTGCTGACCCACCCGGTTCATATATGTACTTTGGACTGTCGCCCATCAGCTCCAAAACAGGCCTTTCTTTCTGCTGTAGACTGTAGGGTATCTCTACTTTATCATATATTTATCATAATAACTGTGGTGATAAAACATTTAAGATAACTTTTGATATTAGTTTTACTCCAAATGAAATCAGTAGAGCTACAGAAAATGTTCTGTTGGAGATGATATCAGTCAAATCAATGACAACCTGTAGAAATATGATGACTATTATGTTTCTGCTGCCTTATAAAATTGTTCAGACAGCCTAAATCTGTAGTATTATTTCTCCTCCTTATCAGATCCAGTGGACGTGTTGCGGGCCCTGCAGGTCCCCTCCCTCCCTGAGGGGGTGAAGAAGGTTCCTGGCTTCTGCACATCCCGCCGCTCCAGCAGCCCCGACCATGCTTACCGCATCTCCAAGAAGGCGCAGATCTCTGCTCCCACCAAGCAACTGTTCTCAGGTAGGAGTCAGGTTTTAAAGGATGCAGGGGGGAATTTACCATTAGGCAATACTAGGCAGTTGCCTAGGGCCTAAACTTCCTGGGAGCCCACCAAACTCTGTTTACGTGAATAGTTAATACAACTATTCCTTATTTGAGCACATTAAATGCCATCAGAACACTTATAATATTAAGTGTAAGCCTTCTTTCAGTGTCCACCGCATTGGATCAGTCCATTTGCTGTTCAGAAAGATCCAAACAGGCAACAGCAAACCATTTGAAAACAAACGATGTGAACTTAGTGCTTTTGTCGCTATAGTTAGCACATTTTCAGACCCCTCTAGAAGTTTTATTTCAAAAATGCGCCTGGCGCCAAATCTCGCAACTTTTTTTCTCCTACGGGAGACTTTGGTGGCAACATATAAAAGCAGAGAACTCTGCTCTCCAGAGCAAGTAGATTGGTAACCCGCCCTCCTCTATCTTGTCTGCTGTCACGATTCATGCAGCTATAATTTCACGCAGATCATGGCTTGTCTACAGTAAAAAGAAGGACTGGGTTATTTACTTTGGCCTTTTTGGAAACACAGGAAGGAGCAATCAGCTAAGTGAGCTTAGTGCTTGGAAAAATCTTTCATTCTTTTTTAAACAGCATGAAAAGTCAGTCTCAGTACAAAACATAGAGAGCAAAACAACAAGAAAAGGGACAAGAAGAGAGGAACAAAACATAGAACAAATAATGTATGTCTATTCTATTAAAATATCTATATTGTATAACGGGTCTGTTTTATGTGTTTTCTTCTCAGTTCAGAGGGCCCCCTGCCTGTTTTTGCCCAGGGCCCCAAATTTCTAAAATCTGCACCTGAAAGGATGCAAAATTATTTGAAAGCTCATCAGAAAATAAGGCATTACTTAACCACCATCAATAAACGAGCCTAATGTTCGGTTATCCGCATACGAATCTAAAGTTATTCTAGAAGAGAGGTAAACCTGAACCATTTTATTTCTGATTGAAAACATCAGTAGTTCGATTTTCTTTTAGTTGCTAGGACCAAAATAAAAACAGAAAAAATTAAAACTAGCTTTTTCCCTCCTTAGTTAACACACCCTCACTGCAATGCATGCACATCGTATCCATGGCAATATCAAGCTAGGCTTCAGATATTTTATACTTTTATAACTTGTTTTTGTTCAGTTGTTTCATTTTTTGTTTTGTTTTTGTAGATGTTTACTTATATAGCAAAGAATTGTACATTTCATTTTACAGTAGCTTGTTTGGCTCTAACATGTCCCAGACTGTCATATTTAAAATTTCACTGAAGCCGTCGTCTCCCTTGGTGCTAAATGTTTCCTGTGTAATTATGTGTTATTGTGTTGGAGTTAAGTCAGGCTTTGTGGGAAGATTTCAACACATTACCTTCAGATTTTTTCCCGACACGATGGAGCAAAGTAAGAAAACAGAAAGCAGCACTTATGTGGTTATGAAGAAATCCTCATAAGGCCAAGCTGATTTTGAGCTTTGCTTCTGTTAGCCTTCTTTGTCTGGCTGGGCTCACCTGTTATTACCAGCTCCTATCTGGATGCCAGCTTCACGTTTTGATCCGTGTTGATCCTGTGATGCTTCTCCCTTTACTTTAATTTCAGGATTTCATGCCAGCTTCCACTCTTTCTGTTTGTCTTGTATTTAACTTTGTCAGCAACCATTATCTGACACGTGCGATCCTGGATTTTCATTCATTTTTTTAAACTATCTAAATAAAACGGTGGCACCAGGATTTGAGTCGTACATTTTTTTTCCTATTATTTCAAAACCAAAAGTTTCAAATTGATTTAGATACATTTGTATGTACTAATATTACTTTTTGCTAAATCAAAAGTAAACCTATTATTGTTATTTTTATTATTATTTTGTTTCTCTCCGTGTTTCCTCTTCCACAGGCCGTTTCCCAGAGAACTTCTCCATCATGACCCTGATCAAGCCCCAGGCCGGCCTCCAGGCCTTCCTGCTCTCTATCTACAGTGAGCAGGGGATCCAGCAGCTGGGCATCGAACTGGGACGCTCACCGGTTTTCCTGTATGAGGACCAGCATGGCAAACCAGCTCCTGAGGATTACCCACTCTTCAAAGGCATCAACCTGGCTGATGGCAAGTCAGTAACCAGCAGCAACCAGCTTGTAACTGGTGGAAATTATACGATTTTTGTGTTTTTGGGGATTAAAAATAATAAGTCTCTGGAAATGAAGAACAACTCAGTGGATAAGTTGATATTATTGTTTGGGTTTGATCACATGCTTGTTGTTTGCTGTTCCTCCTACTTGTCTCTAGGTGGCATCGGATTGCTTTCTCTGTTTCAAAGAAAAATGTGACACTGCTGCTGGACTGCAAGAAGAAGATGACCCGTCCTCTGCCCAGAGGCAATAAGGCTGAGGTGGACACCAATGGCATCACAGTGTTTGGAGCTCGTCTGCTTGATGAGGAAGTTTTCCAGGTGAGGATCTAAGGAACTTATTACAACCTGACTTTACATTATTTCATCACATTTTGAAATTAATTTGTTTTAACTTAAATAAAACTTATCTGTATTAATACTCATATCCACTTTTCCTTGACAGGGAGACATCCAGCAGCTGTTAATCGCCTCCAACCCTCAGGCTGCTTATGACTTCTGTGAACACTACAGCCCTGACTGTGACTCCCCTCTGCCCAAGACCCAAGCTCAGGATCCCAACACATATGTGAGTAACAGACCTAACAGGGGGGCGATACTTCGTCTTTAATAAACCGACATCCCTTCACCTGTTTTAGTCACATATTAGATAAAATAGAAGATAAATAACTTGAATCAGGACACATCTGTAGCTCCAAAAAATCTCGCCCAATCAGAATTTATGGACCTATTTTTTTCACACACTTTCTGTTGATATAAACATAAAGAACATATTAAGTTAACTACACTCACAAAAGTGTTTGATCCAAATTTTAATATTTATGTTATTTTATTACGTAATCAATGACAAGATGCATAATTATTTGCATTATAAAATGTATTGATTTGAAACACATTATCATCAGGTTTATGTATTTAGTATAAATAAAGTAAACTTACTCTTAATTAATACTATGGAGTGTCTTTACTTCAAATAAATACAGTTTAGTGTTTGAATTGCACACATGTAAACTGATTATTATGCAATTCTAGCAGCAAACTTTATGTATATAAAATAAATAACACAAAGTGTTGATTATGAGTTGGTAAACTTCATACATTTTGAATATATGAACCTGATTATTATGTATCTTAACAAAATAATCTAAATTAAACTAATAAATATGCATCCTGTAAGGTTTATTTATTAGGTTTGTATTAAAATTATCCAAGAAAATTAATTGGGAATTGTTATTGTGGAATTGTGATATTGTTATTTAATAGAATTAGATAAATCTTAGAAATTGGGTGAAACATTTTTGTGAGCATAACCTTTTAAATAAGCAATTTGAAAAGAAGAAAAATACACTAAAAAAATTTCAGAAGACCAATGCAACTTTATTACAGACATATTTTAATAGATATTTTTAGTTTTGTTTATTCAGCTCTGGAACAAAAGTGCTGTGTTAATTTAACTTTTCACTTTCTTTTTATTGTGTAGCAAATTTTCTTTCCCAATAGATTTAAAACATCTATTTTTTCCATTGGTTTATTATTAACGTGTGAGGAGTACATGAGCCTATGTAGATATAATCAAACAGTGAGATCAGCGGCAGATTTCTGAACTGTAATTCCTCAGGTTCAGATCAGGTCATCTGATAAAACCATCAAAGTTCTGCTCCCCTTTCTGTCTTCCTCATGCACCCTTGTCATCAACAACTGTTTGTATCTATCCCACTTCCCCTCCACCTCTACAGTCTGTGTCCTGGGGGTATTTAGAAAAGCAGACGGCTTTTTATTTTCTGCTCCTGTAAAGATTTATTTCATTTTAATCATGACTTCCCTGTTTTCCCTGTTTTCTGCTCTGCTGCAATGGAACACAGAAAGGTGGGGGTAAGAGGATGATACAGAAAAACATCAATGTTTGCCATGCTTTGTTCAGATGGATTGAAATAAAGAGAACATCAGCACAACATGAACTTTAAATTCCGATTGGTTTGGTGGTGAAATTGTGACATAGGACTATGGCTGAAGGTCTGCTTATGGTGGAACCTGCTTGCTTACTGAGACTGGTCGGTCAGAATTCACTCTAGGCTTTGCTGTTTTGCATAGTTGGGGACTTTTGTTTTATACAGGCTGCATCACAGATTTGATTATTCAAAGAAGGTTCATCTGCATGCATCCATCCAAAGTACCCATCTATCATGAGCTTGCATGCCTGGTCCTACTCAGTGTGATCATCAGACACAGTTTGTCTCCACTGCCATGTTGATGTTGTTGTGATGACTTCTCCTGGAATGCATTGAATTCCCTGTTTTTACTCCACCGCTGCTTTTATGGTTTTCTCATTCATCAGGGTGGATTATCTATTGAATTCTATTCCATTGGTAACTTTAAGCTTTATAAAAAAGACTCAGATGAAGTGAGAAACAAAAGGTTTGCATTGTTCCGTCACCCCATTGCTTTCCATTGCAGATTCTCAACTCGGTACTTCTTGCTTTTTACTTTTCTTCTTTTTTTCGCTCCATAACCCTTCCTTATTTCCTTTACCTCTTTTAGTTTGTTTTTTTTGCTTTCATTCATCTTCCTGTCTGACTCCATCTCATCCTTTTTATCTGTCTTACAATCATTTAATCCCTCCGTCTTTCTCAGTACTTTGATGAGGACCAGGATGACCTTTACTGCCCCTATTATTATTATCCCATCATTATAAGGAAAACCAGGTTTTCCCTCCTCCTCTGCACCCCCTCCTCCCCAACCTGGAGACCCAAAATAATGGAGCAAGAAGGAGGGAAAATGATATTTGGGTTGAGGAATGAAACAAAAAGAAAAATTTAACATGATAAACAGCAATAAAAGAATCCATGATATAAAGTCAACTTGCTAAATATAAGATATAACCTAAATGTATTCTACATATTTGTTGAGGTTATGTATAAGGGCTTACCTTTTTATTTATTTTTTTATTTTATTAACTGACTTAAGGATCTCTCATCAGTTATCACTCTTTACCTCCTTTTTTTATTTCCCTTTCTAATTAATCAGGTTTGACCTCCTAAACATCCTCTTCATATCTACCATTTGTCGTAAATCACATTATGTCTGTTTCCTGTCATTAACATGTTGTCATGTATGTATGTATGTGTAATTGTCCACATTGTGGCCAAGTGGCGGCACTGATGAGGTGTAGGGATGGTTGTTTTAGCATACACAACACACCTGTAATTCATTCCCACCATTTATGGTTATTTATTAGGGTAAATCTGCAATTCCCATTATGTGTGTTTTAGACTTTTAATTTTCAATCTCACTTCTTGGAAAGAAGCTGAAAGTATTTTTGTATTTTTTGTATAATTTATTGAAGGTGAATGTTTTACAAATCTTTAACAATAAACAGTGGAATGTACAGAAATGGCCATTTAAAATTATTCTATTAATATTTAGATTTTACAGAAGTTGATTAAAAGTAAAATTTAGTTCAAGCTAAACTTTTATATAAATATAAAAATGCCAAATCTGATATTCCTAAATATTCCTTATGGGTTAGGAGAATTAGTTTTAAATTAATGAATCCAGACAAAGAAATTCTGATAATAAAATATTTAGATTTTGTTAAATCTAGAGTCTCTTTTATGTGCGTTAAAGGTGAACTCCATCAATTTAAAACAAAACCTCTTTTTTTTTTTGCTTTTCAATGTTTTATTATTTGCATGATCTGAAAAGTTATTGTTGCATGAAGTTCCTGTCTTTTGTATTATGCGTTCATTTTTTTCCAGTTATTTCACTGCATGGTTATACAGCTCAGGTTTGCATTATATTCAAATAATTCATGCATGTTTGTTAAAGTTTGTATAAAAAAATATGTGATCATTTTGTCATTGCCACTACTGAGCCTATATTACTCTTTAAGGTATTTGTCTTTTGATTTTTTTACATTTTCAATGTATCTTTAGAACAAACCATTTTTGTTTGCATGTCTTTACTTTCAACAGTGGAACATAAAATAATATTCTTGTTTCTTCTTGTTCGTGTGCTTTTGTGTATGTGTGTGATTTCCTTTACCTAACATGTTGTTGCATGTCTTCCTAACAGTAAGCTGCTGTCCTTTGCATGCTTTAACTGTTGGTTTTCTAGTTGAACCCATTAATGCAGTTCTGCATCGGTTTAGTGCATCAGTGGTGTGTGTGATGTGGGATTGTGTTTACAGTGTGTGTGTGTGTGTGTTAAAACAGCTGGCTTTAGCTGACTGGTCACACCCCCCAGTGCCTCTACTAAACCACAACCTCCAGTTACTTAGAGAGCAAAGATGCTGCTTTTATTTGATGTTGGGAATGGCATTACTGGAGAAAACAGCAAATGTAAAAAAGAAAGGATGCATTATAGGATTATTATCAAAATACCAACATTTCTTAAACTTATCTTGTAACTCCACTGCTGACTGTTGTTTTATTTAGACGTAGACTTCTGCTGTATCCAGTAATGCCTGCACAGTCTCAGTAAATCATCCAGACCTTAGCCATCTTTATGTCACTGTTTGTCAAAACACCCACTCTTGTCTTTTTGTCTCTTTCTGTCAATCCTTTGTTTGTGCTTTTCATCTTCCTCCCAACCCCTCCGTGTATCTTTATCATCTACCCTCCCTCCCTTTCTCTGTCCGTTTGCAAATTCTACATTACAAATACTCTACAAACTATTTTACTGGATATTAGAAGAAAGCGGTCAATGGAAAAGCAGCTCCCCCTAAGCCCCTTCTTGCAAAAGCTAAACCCACTCCAGCAAAGTCAGCCAAGAATGGACCTTACAAGCTGGTAGTCAAGCCCCCGATGCCCACCAAGGCATCTAAAGCTTCTAAAACTAAATCATCCAAAGTAAAACCCACTCCAGCACAGATCCTGTTGTCTAAGATCAAGCCAACTGCAGCAAGTAAATCAAAACCCACATCTGCTCCAACTAAGAATGGAAATGGTAAACCAGCTGTTCAGAAGAAATCAAATGGTGGAGCTAATACCAATTCTAATGCAAATGGGAAGACATCCAATGGCAACAGCAAGGCTCAAACCAAAACAAATGGAAATGGGAAGCCCTCTGTAGTGTCGAAGGTGAATGGAAACGGCAACGGCAAAGCTCCGACGCCGAAGAAACCTGTTGGAAATGGGAAAGTTACCGGGAAAGTTAATGATGCAGCCAAAGCTAACGGCAACAGCAAAGCAAAGACTGCGGTTTCCAAAGCACCCAAACCCACAAAAGCAGCTCCTTCAAAAACAGCGAAACCTGCTACAACCAAAGTTCCTGTAGCAAAGGCCCAAGCAGGGTCCAAAGTGAACACTAAGGTGGTCAAACCAACTGCCGGCAAACCTGTGAAGGCTTCAAGTCCAACAAAACAAACTTCAACAACTGCAGCCGTCCGACCCACTCCACCTAGACCCACAAAAGCCAAGATGGACAACAACAATGTGAAATCCCACCACAGACCCTTCCCACCGTTTGGCAAGGCTTCACAGGGTGGATCTGTTGTCAAAACTAAGAAAGTTACCAACGGTTACCCAGAGGTACAACATGAGGGTTCATGTTTGGTTCCAAGTGTCCACAGATTTATGCTCTGCTCTTCCATTCTCTTTGCCTGCCTCGTCCATCATGTGGGATCTGCAGTAAAATCACAGCTGATAAACAGATTTTGGTGTAAATCCTCACTGATGAACCAGCTCGCTGTCTGAATGGAAGTTGGTTAATGCAAGCATTCTGCCTTCTTGTCTTTGCATATATCATATGTTCCTCCCAACCTTCCCAACCTCTCCATATGATATGATCCTGCAGCACACACTGAAGCATGGCTCTATGGCTTAAATATACAGCTTTGTTGTTTGTTTGTTTTTTTTACTTGACTTAAGGATCTGAATCCCCAAGAGTAATTTTACCTGGAAACAGTCAGATAATGGGCGTGTGTTATTATAATACAGCAGCCAGGAAGAAATATCTTTTATAAAACTTAAAATGTTGCTGCAGAACAAACCTCCACCTGTCGCTTTGTCACTGTCTGGCTATTATTGGCCTCTTTCTGACTTTGATCTTATTGATTTTTGTTGATTTTTAATTAAATATGAATACAACAGCTTCACAGAATCTATGGCAAGCTTTAAGCATCTATTAACATCTTTGTAGATTTATTCTTTAAGGTAAATGGTATATTAAATGACTAAAGTCCAGGTCTGTGAGGCTGTTAAGTCACTATGTCTCCGTTTTTTCTGACCTTGGTTGAAACTCGACATTCTGAAGCATCAAGCTGGGATGTTTTCTTTTGCATCAGATGGATCGATGCCAGCGTTGTTGCTTCCAATAAGAGCAAACTTCACACTTTTTAAACCTTGGCTTTTAAGCTCTGTAAAGCAAAACCTGTACAAGAATTGCATGGGAAGAAATTTCAGTTAAGTCTCAATGACTTTGCAAATCTTCCATATTGCATAAAGTCTTTGATGCTCTAAAAGCAACTGAAACTTCTTTTCTATGATGGCTCTTTGCAAGATTAAAATGTGCATCACCAGTGGAAACCTACGACGGAGTATGAGGGAAAATAAAGTAATGATATTATGAGAATAAAGTTAAAAAATATGGGTTCTATGAACTTAAAGTTGTAATATTATGAGATTAATGAAGAAGCCTATTTTAATTTTAACTTTTACATAAAAAGGTTAGGCTGCAGTTTTGGTAAACTTGATTAATTGTCTGTTAGGGCTTGTGTCTCAGTATTACAACTTTTTTCTTATATTTTTATTGCTTTATTCTCGTAATGTTAAGACTTTACTGTAATAACTTTAAAAAAAAAAAAAAAACTCTTCTTAGTATGGCCCTAGTACTCTGTTGTGAAAACCTTTCACTGGTGACCACAGTTTGACGATGAGTTGAGGTTTCTGGCTAAAGCAGAACCAACTAACCCTGCTCTCCCAATCAACTCTGCTTACTTCCTCTCTGTTCACAACTTCCTGTCAACCTGACCAATCAGGATGTAGAATATTCTGAGGCTGGCCACACCCCTACAGACGATTATTACTATGAGGAGATGGTTCCACAGGCAGACGGTGAGGTGTTTGGAGAGGAAGAAATACCAGTTCAGGTAAAAGGAAAATCACACGCATTGAACCATGTCAAAGAAAAAAAAATCTTCTATGAATTTATCACATTTGTCTATTAAACCAAACAGCTAAGCAGTAAAACTTTATTATTCTTATCAGAATAAAACCATTTTGTTAGCTGTATGACGGTGAGCCCAGTCCTTGTAGTTTAACTCTTTCCTTTTACATTTTTCTAACCATTCATCATTTTACTGTCAGCACAAAGTAACATGTGAGAGAAAACTCCTTTAAAAGAGAATGCACCACATTCATCTCCTGCTTCATCAAACATGTTTATGTGGCTCCTTCTCCTTCACTGCAAGGTTCCCGACTTGTTCTCAGATCAAGATGCTTCATTAAACCCAAACAATCTTGGGATAAGAACAAAAACCTTGTGATGAAAAAGACCCACATGATGATATTTGATGTCAAGTTTCACCACAGAGGAGATGGATGTAATCCATTCTTATTTAAAAGAAAAACAAACTGGAAAACAGCTGCTGCTGAAGGTTCCTTAATGACGCTAACATGTTGTTTGTGATCATTTCTTATTTGTTCAATAACATATCAAAGATAATTAATTACTTATTAATGTAAGTTGATTTTATGGAACATGTTTTGCCAACTTTGGTGCTAAAATCTGAAAGAAGTTTGGTGAAACTTTTAATTTGATTAGAAATGCCAGTTGAAATGCTTCTATTAGTGTTTTCATATCAGCATCCATATTGGATTATTAACCTTTATGTCTAGAAAGATGTTCGGTAAGTACACATGTGAGATCTTTGTTTTGCTTTGGGTAGAACTTAGCAGAAGTTTGTTTTCACAAAGCTTTTCATTATCCGTTTGCATCCAGAAAACATAAGATAAAGGCTCCTGTATAAACCTGCTTTAATTTTGAATCAAACTCTTTAAAAATTATATTCATTTATCATTAAAAACAAGCTGGTAAGGAAAAGTTTTGGTGAAAACTGGTTAGATAAAGATTGATTTTGGATGAAAAACAGAAGATTTATAGTGGTAAGGTACATTTCCTTAATTTACTTTAAAAAAGACTGAATTAAGGATTGATCAGGTTTTTAGAATCTGCTTCATTATGTTTTTTTTAATAAGGTAAGTTATATTTAAACTGTCCTTCTTCTGGTACACCTTCTTTTTTTCTACCCCCTTTGTTTCTAAACATCTTCCATCTCATTGCTTTCTCTTCCCTCTCTTGTATCTTTATTTTCCTCTATTTTTCTTTGGGGTCTTTCCATCCATCTTTTATGGGCTGTAATAAACCCATCACAGCCTCAGGTAGAACCAGCCTTGGAAGGAGAGGAGCTGGATGCCACCAAGGCAGGCGGTGTGGGAGAAGAAGTTTTCACGGAGGATTATGTGACTGGAGACTTGGGCATGAGGGAATATGATTATTCCTATAAGGACTACAATGAGCCGGAACCAGAGACCGTGAAGGCTGAGGACCACTTTGGTCCAGCCCTGTCCGCTGTGACGGACGAGGGAGGCGTAAGTATTTTAGCTTTTGAAGCAAAAATCCGTTTTAACCAATCAGGATTTCTGGTCTTTGATTAATTGTTTTCAATATCTTCTCAATGATCTGGTTGAGTTAGCCATGAGTCAAAGGTCTGGACCTGTTGACTTTTTCATTTACCCTAAACCGACACAGAGCTGATACATGTATAATCCACTGTTGGTAACGTAAACAAATACTTAAAATATTTAAAATAAAAACAAAAGTTAATTCAAATATTTCCACAGTAATCCAGGCCAAACTCAATCAGTCAGAGAAATAAGTTGAATGCAATTAAAGACCTTGAAGTTACAGTGTTGGTTGAAAATGTTATTTTCTAAGTACATACTAGTTAAAACAATGCTACAGCTAGTACTGGTTTGAGGCTGAATCACTAACCATACATTCAACATACACTGAAAAAATATAATGAAAAGGCATCAGCTTTCAGGATGTTTTTTGCGGTGTATGCAAACAGTAAAAGTACTAGTAATAGTAGTAGTAGTAGTATTAGTAGTAGTAGTAGTAGTAGTAGTAGTAGTAGTACTAAGCTTTTTCTCTGCAAAGAATGTAGAAAAGTTTTGGACCAAGACCCTGGAGACCAGTATTGGTAACTGAATATCATCTTAATGGGATTTGTGTGTTTATATTTAATGTGCATCATGGTGGTGATTGCTTTGATTGTTTATGTTCTCAAAGTTAATGCAGTACATGTTCTGATTTTGGCCTGGATTTGTTAGTAGCTCCATAATGATTTTGTTGTGTTCCTGGATGCCTGTGTGTTTTCCTCAGGTCGGCATCAGAGGCCAGAAAGGAGAAAAGGGAGAACCAGCAGTCCTGGAGCCTGTGAGTGTATTTTTTGCTATGTGGGAATAAGTGACAATGTTTCAGGTTTTATTCAAGATATCTTAATATGAACAAATACTTATTTTAACCAAAGGTCAGAACTTAGATGATTACTTGTTAACCACGTTTCACTATCATGGATATTTATGATAAAGTAGTGAATATTAATGTATAAATGTTTTTTGCTACTTTTCTTCACTTGATTTGGTAGTCTCGTAATTAGGGTGGAGAGTTTGCATTTTAGAAAGCCTCAAGTGGTCAGTTCAAGCCTCACAGGATGCTTATCTGGGTCCTTGAGCAAGGCACTTAGTTCCAAGCTGCTCCCTGAGGATAACTTAACTGGAATGTAGATTTGTAATAATAAAATAATGTTGTTTGTTATTGTAAAGCAGGTAACTACTAAACTTTAAGCTAAACTTAAAAGATGTTTTTATCTAATGAATATTGGAGTCAGTCATGTTTACTTCACAGTTTATCCTTTAGTACTATCATAGTAATACCTACTTCTGTATTGTGCAAACTGGGGCATCATCTTGTCTTCAGTTTTTGATTTATATTTCTGTTTTTCAGGGTATGCTGATTGAAGGACCTCCAGGACCTGAAGGGCCTGCTGTAAGTACTACATTAGCCTGTAGTTATATACCTGCTGTTAATGTTTAGGCTACATTGCATTATGTATTTATTAAACTCAACAGTTTATTTAAGTTATTTCATCTCTGTTTGTTCAGGGGCTTCCAGGACCTCCTGGTCCTTCTGGTCCTCCTGGGTCAGCAGGTGACCCTGGTGAGAGGGTGAGACTGTTCTCTGACTTTTTCTACCTGTGCAGATTAGTGATAAATATTGAATGATGGTTGTTTGAAAAAGTTCTTACTTATTTGCAGTATTTCTCCACCTCTGTTGGTGTTTAATGCTCCTCTGTGTTCTGCAGGGTGTTCCTGGTCGAGCTGGTCTGCCTGGAGCTGATGGAGTTCCTGGACCTCCTGGAACCTCAGTCATGCTGCCTGTAAGGAACCTTTTCTCATTTATCCTCCAGACATGATTTATCATTCTAATGATGGTGGTGAAGTGGATTTTAAAGAAGTCTGATTTTATAAATGCTTTTAAGTGTGTAATACTTTAAAGGTGTAATTATATTGTCTTATGTTTTCTTCTAAATGAAACCGAAAGTCGCCACTTGTCTTTTCTGCTGCTTCTGTCTGATTTCTATGTTCAGTGTTAGTTTTATTTGATTCAAAATCATTAAATCAATTATTCAGAACACAGATCTGACTTCTTTTTATAATATACCTATTTTCTTATTGCAGTTCCGCTTCGGACAGAGTGGGGGCGATAAGGGTCCTGTCGTTTCTGCACAGGAAGCCCAAGCAAGAGCCATCTTGTCCCAGGCCAGGGTCAGTTTTATTATTAAACCTTTCCACGGTGCAAAAAGTTTTTCATTCTATTAAATTGTGATGTTTTGCATTTAGTCATGCTGATCCAAGTTTAATAATTTTCCCAAGATCTTTCACATTTATTGGTCTCTGAGTTTGCTTTGATTTGATTACTAAATTATTAGCTAATACAAAGAAACCTAAATATTTGAAAAGAATTATCTCAGGATGTCAGTAAATGATGGGCTTTAAATGACATAAATTACACAGAAATAAATTAAGTCATTTCCCAACAGCACAGAAAGTTTGATATAGAGACAAGATTTTCTTTTTACTCAAAAGAAAATCTCAGTACACACTTGTGCGTCTCAATCATTACTGAGTTTAAAAGATTTAACTTAATTACTTTCTGCAGATGGCGCTAAAGGGACCTCCTGGACCAATGGGATTCACAGGTCGTCCAGGACCTCTGGTGGGTTTCCTGCTTAAAAAACTACAAGTTTGATCATTTTAACTGATCTCTAAATTAAGCAATCTGTTTATTAAAATTATGTTATTGTTTTTTTTTTTGTCTTTACCATCATTACTGTAGGAGGAATAAATTATTATTTCTATGATGTTTCCATTTGTTTAGGGAAGTCCAGGAAGTCCAGGTTTGAAAGGAGAGGGAGGAGACCCCGGTCCTCAGGTAACATTTCAGCAGCCTGGTCAGTTTAGAGGACAGGTATCTCAGAGTCTCACCTCTGGCCTCTTTCCTTTAGGGTCCCAGGGGTCCTCAGGGCGTGATGGGACCTCCTGGCAAATCTGGAAGAAGAGTGAGTAAAAACAGCAATTTAAACTATGTGGAGTTTTTCATCCATTAAGGAATTAACTTTCAGAAGTCCAGGAATATTTCTGAAAAAAAATCAGTAGAGAACCTGTTAAAAAGTGATGGATCATTTCCACTAACAGGGCCGGGCTGGTGCTGATGGTGCCAGAGGGATGCCAGGAGAGCCGGGAACCAAGGTTAGAAAATCTCCATTATTATTAACAAGAATCCAGTTTAATCCAAATCATCATCAACATTGGTAGTTTGTTTGTTATCTGCATTTTTAAACGACAGTAAACTGTTTTAATGTATTTTGTATTATTTGTTTTAGGGGGATCGTGGCTTTGATGGTCTTCCTGGTTTGCCTGGTGATAAAGGACACAGAGTGAGTAAAAAAAATTATTATTTATTGTCAGTTTCTGTTCAGGTTCTGTTCAGAGCTCAGATTGGTTATTAATTAACCAATTAGATTTAGAATATCTAAAGTATTCATCTAGAATTTCTTTAATTTAGGGTGACCCAGGTCCAATGGGACTCCAAGGATCCCCTGGAGAGGATGGAGAGAGGGTATGAAATACAATAAAACAGATTTTTACCTTTTAATCTATTAATTATGATCTATTCATCAGTTTGTTGTATCTGTGTTTGTAGGGAGACGACGGAGAAGTTGGGCCCAGAGGTCTTCCAGGTGAACCCGTGAGTGTTTCCATAACAACCAAAGAGATTTAACATATTTATTTGTTATGTTTCTGTGTAATAAATATTGTATCTGTAAATATTAACATTACATGATCTGAAAAATATAAATTTGTGTTGAGTTTGGGGGTCAGGGTTTTATGCTGTCTGCTATCTGACTAGATGTTGCCGTTATGGTTCTTATCGGTTCTGGTGTCTCTCTCTCAGGGACCTCGTGGTTTGCTCGGACCTAAAGGTCCTCCTGGAGTCCCCGGACCTCCTGTAAGTAAAATCAGGTGTAACTAAACTACTGTTTTATTTTAGCTGCATTTGGTTTAATGTGTCTGAACAAACAAAACCGGCTACTGAAATCAAACTGCAGCCTCAGTTTATCTGGAAGGAAATTCCAGTCTGAAAGTTTAAATGAACATTTGATCGTCTCACATTCTTTTCTAAACAAAACAACATCCTCTGAATCACAAGATAAACATGGATATGATATCAGACTCATTTCTCACTAATAGCATGAAGCTTTTTCCTTTAATTCATTACTTTAATGCAACAGAACAAGAATATAAACATTAATGATGGATATTCTGCTTTATTTGCTGATAAGTTCAGGTAAAGTATGTTTTAGACTTCAGCTGGTTTCAAATGATAAATTCTGTCTTCGCTGTTTCATTTTAGGGCGTTAGAGGAAATGATGGACCCCATGGCCCCAAAGGAAACCTGGTCAGTAACTCTCTGTAATCATCGTTTTTTTTATCTCTTTATGTAGTTTTCTATCCTCTGGTTGTTACAAATAAGTATTCAGAAATAAATTATCAGTGGTTTTATTCTGACTGTCTCTCTTCACTGTTTTTTCTGTCTTTCTGTTACTCAGGGCCCCCAAGGAGAACCAGGACCTCCAGGTCAGCAGGGAACTCCAGGAACTCAGGTGAGAAACAATCAGCTATCTATGAATTATGGACTCAGGTGTTTATTTTATCCATCCCGATAGTTTGTTTCAGTTACTATTAGGCTATCGGATTAAGCTGCATCTGATAGTCTTTAATTCTTTTAGTTGCAAAATATGTGGGATTGCTGACTTTCTTGTTTAGTGTTGTTTATTATCGAGTAATAAAATAACTATGAACTTTATTTTTTATCTAATTTTGAAAAAGGCATTTCAATAATCTCAGTCTCTTTAATGCCACCTTGCAGTTTACCTTCACCTAAATGTAAATGATAGACCAGAGTCAGGAATGGTTAAAGGTCAAAGATTATGTAACATAAAATACCTGCAGTGATTAATCAAATGTTTACCTTGGATAGTTTCAGTACAGCTTTGGCTGCAGCTAACAGCCTCAAACCCTGACATGTTTACATGGCTCTTCTGTGATTGACCAACATAAAGCAGAAATACATGCATCATAAAAACTATGCAAGTCACAACAGAAAGGTCAAGGAGAAAGATGTTGAGGTCCGAATAAGGAATAGGTCAGAAACTTTAATCTTTTCTGTGTTCTGGTCAGTAGTCTCAAAATCTTCCGAGTTCAGCAAAAATTTGACCTTCCAAGATCTAGAAGGTTTGAAATTATAAGCCACACAAAGTGGCAGAGAAGATAAAATAAGATAGACATTATTGATCTCACAGTGGAGAAGTTCACTTGTCACATCAGCTCGACAGACAACGGAAGGCGCCAAAAGGAGGAAAAGGTGCCTGGGTTTAATACAATGCTGCTTTGATTGAGGAAACAGGAATTTGTAGAAGAGATCCACACAGGAGAATATGTAATGGAACAGCCGTTAAATATGCCCTTTACTAATGTGGCCTTTATGAAAACCCGTCTACAGTCTGACACAAACCATGTATGAAACAATGTTCAGATCAAAGAATGTTTATGCATTACTTTTACCGGTACCAACTGAGCTTTATCTGACTAACTGTGTGGTAATATTTATAGTAATCGATGTTCACAGAAACTCCACACAGGGGGTTAAATGTTTCTCTAGGTTCAAAAAGCTGCTTTAAAGATGCCCTAAAGGAAGTAAAGAAGTCACAAATAGATGAATAGAAGGCAATAGCTGCAGAATGGTGCAAATAAAAAAAATTGCTGTTGTTACAGAAAATAGTCAAAAAAAGGGAGTTACTATTCTGCATTGATTCCAACAAGAACAGCTTTAAAAAGCTGCAAACTTGCCCGAACAGAACAATGTAAGCCTGACCACTAGGGGGCGACAGATCGAAATATTTTTACTGTAGCTCTAAAAAAATATTGCAAAAACTGACCTTTTTTTATTTTATCAAACTTTCTGCTGGTCCTCCTGTTTATGCCTTTACTCTGGATTTGATCTCATCTTAATTTCTTTAAGTCTGCATTAGGATGCTTTTAAAAAAATAATTTCTACACTTTGGTTTGTTTCATAATTTCAGTAAGATTTAAACATTTGTTTTCTTTTTTTTGCAGGGATTGCCAGGACCTCAGGGAGCGCTTGGACCACCAGGAGAGAAGGTGAGAAGCCGGAAACAGTTTGAAGCTATTTTAGAAACCCTGACCTTTAGGGGAAAAAAAAAAAAACAGCTTTTACCAGAATTAGACTTTATTTTAGTAGTACAGAAATGCATAATAAATGGGTAAAAAATGCACTTAACTGGGCTGATTTTTCAGTCAGAAATCTAACAGATTAGCAAATTTATGCTCCATAACTTTGACTGTTTTTGTTCTTTTTTCTTGTTTTTTTTTCTGTTGTTTCTTTAACATTTAAAATAGCTAAATTTTTTTATTTCAGTTTCGTTTTTTTTAAAGAATCACAATGGAATAAACAAACTGTTTAAATTAATTAACTCTTCGAATGTAGAGAGGCAAAATGCTTAAAGGGTTTCTGCGAAAGTGAAATAAAGTAAAACAATAATTCAATAAAAATTTTATTATTGGACATTTAGGATAACAAAAACAGTAATGATAAAAGAAAAACAACATGTATGCAAATCCAAACTAACAATAGTTAATGTAAATATGAATAAACTTAAGAAAAGCACTATAAAACAATGGGAAAAAAACATTTATAAAAATACACCATATTTTTATATCAGTTTATGTTATATTATGCTAACATAATCAACAAAAACAAAGGTGTGATATTAACAGTACAAACATTTTTGTAACGCTGAAGAGACAAACTACTTCAAGACAAACAGGAAATCATGTAAAGGCCTTTTACTTTATGGGAAACCTAGAAATAAAAGAATTATATTTAAACAGTTTTAATCGCAAACGTTTTTAGGTCTGGAATATTCCTTTAATCAAAATGTATTGTATGAATAAAATTAGATATCTGTAATATAGTTTATTCTCCTCTCAAAGTTAAGAAACATTTCTCTGTAAAATTATCATGAGCCTTTCTTATTATACCAACATATTCACTGTTATCTGTTTATTTATATTTTATTATCACAGTCCGTATGACTTCTTTTCCTATCCAGACAACAAACCCAGTGAATGTTGTAGATGAAACCTGCAGTGTTTCCATAAAGGTCAAATACTCGAACAAACTGGATTAGTTTGAATTCCCTCAGAATAGGTTCCCTTAAAACTACGAAGCTTCAGCTAATAAACCAACACTGATGTCTTAATCAGTGAATTAAGACCTAAACTAGCATTAATCATTACTAGCTAAAACAACTTTGAATATTATTGTGGTTTAAATTTTTATACTTGAAGTAATTTATTAAGTTTATCTAGAAATAAAATCTGTCCTAAAGGGAACCTTGTGGGAGTCCAGATTGTAGATCAGGTTAATCAGTCATTTCTTATACAAGAAACAGTTTTTGGGTTAATTTATTTTATTTTTTTATAGACTTCTCCAAACCAAATCCATGCAGCTTTCTCACTTTTTATAAATTAAAGTACAACTATTTTGCTTCACTGACCCATGTAAAGAATAAAGTAAACAGTAAAGCCTTAAAAAAAACAGACTTCATATAGTTCAGCTCAAAGACTTTATATGTCCTCAGAAAGCTGTTTGTTTTTAGTGAGGGAAGAAGGTGGATGATGATCTTCTAGAAACTGTTGGTGACCCTCTGTAGAGCCTTGCTGTCTACCGTGGGTCAATCTGTGGAACATGAAGAGATTAAATCAGATTAGGTATCAGGCTCAGTGGATCAGCGCTACAATACGGCCAGCATCCCCTCAGGTTAAGACCTCTGATGATCGATACTGTACAGTACCGATACAGTATCAGGTCTTGCAGGCCAATAAAGACCATAATGACTCCCTATTGCTAAGGGGAGGACCTGTTCTGTCGGTTCCATTCGCATGTTTTCTAAGTCGTAACAAGGCTTTGCTGGGCTACTCTATAAAAGCCTGGAACTCAACGCTAATCCAGACATTTTAATTTGAGAAATTTTCCTGGATAGGAAGCGAAACGTCTTTGATCTTGGAAAACAAAGTCCAGTGGATTGCTTTTTTTTTAACTTTTTTTCTTTTTTGGAATTTTTGGAATATGAAACTATATTAATAGATCAACCTTATTGAATCTAAAGCTCGTGGAGTGACGATATGCTGACAGCAATCTATAAAGGTTCTCTCACCATCACCTTTCTTATAGGAATAGTTGTTCTAAACGTTTCAATATAGCCGAATCACTCATGTGTAATGGTGCAGCATGGATCACTATGCTGGAGGCTTTGCAACTGATAGAATGAGGAGGGAGCCCATTTTTAGGGATTACGATTATTTCCTGACCCATAATGATGACTGGGTTACGAGTGGATTCAACTCCCTAGATTAGAGAATTGCTTTTGGTTATATATATATATGCTGAGCAAGAGAGTGATCTATAAGACCCACACCATCCCTGTTCGTCACAGGTGTTAAAAAAATGGAGGCACAACTCCAAAGAAAAAAAAAATAGCTGGGAGAAAATGGACGCGGCGTCATGTACAGTCAGATTATTAAAAATAAAAAATAATCCACCAAAGTTTAGAAAACACCTAAATATAATTACCCAATGTAGCTGAATTATGACAAGTTTGCCCAAATTAAATCTTATAGATTGATCCACTTTTTATGTTATTGCTTTGTTTAGTTTTTTTATTATTATTTAAATTATTATTATCAATTTCAGCTGTTAACCACTCTGGGGTTCCTGCGAAACACCTTTTTTTAAACACAACACTCTGATTGAAGCAAAGAGTTACAGGAGTTAGGGGCAGAATAATTCAATAAAGTGTTTAATTCTGTAATTTAAAATAATTCTTTGAAATTATCCATAAATCTGAGATAATCCAGCCAGTGATGAGCGCAATGCTGCCTGGAAGTCCAGGTTAATATTAGTTCATACTTCAGACTCTGAAGGTGACTTTATTTAATGCTTTCTTTCATTTACTGTGGCTACCAGACAGATTTATCTGACCTCACTCACCAACACATCAACCTCTGCATCTGTTACCATTAATTAACATTAATCAGGCTCATTAACAAACACAATGACATTCATGCAGTGCTTTGTTTGGATCATTTATGTCTAAATGTGGACGTTTATTGGGACAAACATGAGGTGATGCAAACTTTGAGGAACAGCAGGAGAAATGCTTGGTTTTGAGCTTGAACCTGGTTTATAGACCAAGATTTATAAAAAAATAAAAATAAACAATTATAGCAGTTTATGCCATTTTCTGCTTTTTGTTGTACAAACCATTTTAGTATAAATCCTTTTCTAAATGAGACCCAGAAGCTTTGCTCTCAGTCTGTATGTCAGTGTAATGTTAGAAACAGAGATAAAGTTTACATATAGCAGTGTTTCATGGAGCTCTTGATGTTTAATGTGGGATTTGATAGAGTGGAGCACAGTGATGTGTTCAGTTGATGTTAGCTCTATATGCAAACTGCAGTCGGTATTCTATGAGGCTGCTGACTGGCAGCAGGACGATGATGAATGACAAAATTTATAAAGTTTCTTCAGATTTCTCAATTATGAAATTCACCTTGGAAAATAATCTCATTACAAATATGTTCCTACAAAACACAATCTAATTTCCTTATTGATGTTAAATGCATCAAAACAGCTTCCCTCTCTATTACCAGCTATTTGTTTATAATATATTTTAATTGATTTTGTCTGCAGGGGCCCACTGGAAAACCAGGTCTGCCTGGGATGCCAGGAGCTGACGGTCCTCCTGTAAGTTATTCTGATTGGTTTTATAATAACTGAAATGAATCTATTCAAAACTAAGCCTAGAGGGGTGTTTGTTTTATGTATAGGGTCACCCAGGAAAGGAGGGGCCACCTGGCACCAAAGGAAATCAGGTGGGTTGTTCTCTACCTTCATCCATGATTTTTCTTTTTTTATGAAAAAAAAAACCCAACATATTTAGACTTTGTAAAGTGAAAAGAAGAAACTTGAACTGATTCGTAATTTTTTAACTCCTCTTTTGATTCAATCTTCAGGGTCCAAACGGTCCTCAGGGAGCTATCGGCTATCCTGGCCCTCGGGGTGTAAAGGTCGGCACGTTTTATTTATATTTAACAAGCTCTTCACTTAAAATTATGTTTTTTTGCCTCAATATAAAGACATTTTAGTTTTGGGGAAATCATACATTGCATTTAAAGTAAAATAACCTGAGCCATTGTAGAGGTTCTTGTTTCCCATTTTCCATATCAGTGCACTGATAACGTTATCCTCTGATTTCAGGGAGCTCAAGGAATCCGTGGTTTAAAGGGTCACAAAGGAGAAAAGGTAAAACATTCATGCTTTAATTCCTCCATAATGACAAACATCATGCAAACATGGTGACCTGCTGTGTTTTACTTTAGTGACTAATAATATCCACCTAACACAAACAATATGAGGCTTGTTCTAAACTTTAATGTGTTTTTATTTTACCTTCAGGGAGAAGATGGTTTCCCAGGAGTTAAAGGAGACTTTGGTGTTAAAGGAGAGAGGGTAAAATTAATTATACCTCCTACTGGATTAAACATGAACTGATTGGAATTCATTAAATTTTATTATATTGATCATTTCATGTTTTACTTTGTGTGGTTACTTTCCATATATAGACATTTGGTGACTGAAGGCTTTGTTTATTATTCTGGTTGTAGGGGGAGATCGGACTGCCAGGACCCAGAGGAGAAGACGGTCCAGAGGGGCCAAAGGGACGTGTGGGGCCCCCTGGTGAGCTTGGACCACTTGGCCTGGCTGGAGAGAAGGTATTGACCTTTAATCAGGACCAGTCAAAATATCAGAATTCTATCGATCAATTATTTACTACTTTTTATTTATGAAAAAAAATCAATGTTACTGTAAATTCCACTATTTTATGCTGCAAGTAAAAAAGTTACCCACATATTTACAGCATAAATTTAAGCAGAGATTATTTAAAATCTGGCAGATTTAGGTTTAAAGTGGTAGAACAGAACAGTAACAGCTTGGAGCCTGAGCTCTGACTTGGATCTGATCTAGAATGAACTAAAGATTAGGGTGATGGAACGGAGGCCTCTCAACCTGAGAGATTTGGAGCTTAAATGTTGAGATAAACCATCTAAATACCAGAATAATAATCAATTAAAAAATAAAGGTTTGATAGCTCTATTGTCAATAAAATGAATCCATTGGTCATTGAGGACAATATTAATAGTTTTTGACAAGCTTTTCTTTATAAAATGTCAAAAAGAAACATATTTTTTTTGATTGATCATCCTATTAGATTTTCAGTTTTGATAGAGATCTGTCTCATTTCTAATCAGAAATAAACACAGTTTTATAAAGTTTATTTTGACTACGTTTGCCAGGATTAGTAAATTTCCTCTAAATTGAAATTTCTTAAAGATCAATTAATAGAGACATTATGCTGCCCTCTTTTGGTCATGTTACATTAATATATAATGTCATAATCACTACAGTTGTTATTGTTTCTTCTTTGTGTATTTAAACAATTTAAGGCAGTTTTATTTGGTGATATTACAGTACTATCTTATGTCAGTTGCTGTATCATCCCAAATTGCAGTTTTATTTAAGTCCTTTTCTATTTGTTGCATATAGCTTTGCCTACTAGTCGCTTCTGTTATGTTTTCTACTACAAACCTTATCTGTTTTGATCATTTTTAAAAGTTATAGAAGTGACGAAAAAAGATGGATGGGTTCTGTTATTAAATGCTGCACTTTTTTTCTTTCAGGGTAAACTTGGTGTTCCTGGACTTCCTGGATATCCTGGAAGACAAGGACCAAAGGTAGTAATGTACATCATGATGTATTAAGTTAGTAATTTATTTAAATATCTGATGATATTAAGATTCTTTCTTCTTTATTTAGGGATCTCTGGGATTCCCTGGATTTCCAGGGTCAAACGGAGAGAAGGGAACAAGGGTAAGATAATTTACCTGATCAGATATTATTTTCAGCTGAAATAATGATGTGATTTTGCATTTAGTTAAATTGCATAATTCACCACTCAATATTTTGCAGATTATTTTATGTAGAGTCTAATCATTTAGCTTACACCTCTGTTTAAAATCTTTTTATTTGTTTAATCAGGGTGTTACTGGAAAACTGGGACCAAGAGGACAAAGAGGACCAACGGTAATTATAATTTACCTTATTATCAAGCTGAAAAAAGCTGCACAATTTGATAATTTTATTCTGCAAAGAAAAGAAAATTCAACTGAACAAAGACCAGAGAATAATTTTAATGATAATTTTACTTTTGATGTCATTCAGCAACATTTTTAACTGTTGCTGCAGTTCGAGATTGAACCTCCAGGGGTCAGCAGAGAACCCTGTGTCTGCAGCTATTATTATTGTAGTAACATGAATATCATGGTTATGATTTATTTTAATGACATAATAGATTCTGCAGAGTTTATTGTTATTCTATTTTTCTTTTAATTTTATTTTTTATTGAATATTGATCAATAATTGGTGCTTATGTCTTTCAGGGCCCAAGAGGTCAGAGAGGACCAAGGGGAGCGACAGGGAAAGCAGGAGCAAAGGTTGGTTTAAACAATAATTCAGTCCAAACTGTCCAGAAGAACTGCATCCACATGTTTTCTTTACTACTGATATTTATTATTTAATCTATTGTTTTTTTAAAGACCTGAGCTAAAACATGTCATTACATCTGATTCATGTAAAACCTCTACTGGACTGAAGCTGAGCCAAAACAGGAAAATGTGTCATTTTCTGTTTGTTCAATTAATTATGTTATGTTTTAATTAGGGAACTTCTGGAAGTGATGGCCCCCCAGGTCCTCCTGGAGAGAGGGTGAGTGCTAATTTATGTTCCTCTGAATGGTAACTCTTTGCTGTAAATCTGCCAGTTCAAACCGTTTCACACACTTTTTCAGTCACATAGTGTCTGTTTCTAACAAATATCATATTCTCTGATAAACCAGGGTTTGCCTGGACCTCAGGGAGCCAATGGCTTCCCTGGACCCAAAGGACCTCCTGTAAGACATTTTAATAAAATGTTTCTTCAGCTTCTTCTGAACTTTCCATTATTTCCTTGCTTATTATTTTAATTAATGTTACAGGGACCCCCAGGAAAAGATGGGCTGCCTGGACATCCTGGACAGAGAGGAGAAGTTGTACGTTTTATTCATCTTTATTTAATTATCCATTTCATTATTTCTAAAACTTGAATTTAGAAGTCGGAGTTTGAGGTAAATGTGTTTCAGTTTCCTGCTTGTGGATCCTTGTCTTCTCCACGGCTCCACTGCTAAAAGCATGATATAGCATTTAAACATGTTGTCCTCTAAACACGAATAAAACCTGAACAACTGAACTATTGCTGCAAACAGAATAAAAAACATTTCTGCAAATAACCAGAGAAGAAAAGAGAAGTTTAATAACATCCTGTTGCTCTTTCCTTCTCACAATTACGACTTTCAGAGTGTTCCAGTTGAAATTCACAATTTGATTGTTGTAAATGTTGTCTCCTAGTGACAAATGTATGATACTTTTTTTTTTCCTGACCTGTGAACATTAGAGACATTCAGACTGCCTGAATGTCTTTATGTTTGTTAAACATTTAGCAATTAATTTATTCTATAAAATTATGAAATATTTGAAATTTTTTTTGGTTTTTTTAATCACTACATGTTACATTAAATCACATGTTGAGCTTCCTTCAGCAAAACCTAAACATCATTTAATAAGACAAGATCTTACAAACCAAATGGAAACCAAGTGCCATATGGGTAAAAAAAAAATCTACAAAAAGCAATAGTATAAATAAAATACAAGGTGAATAAAATAAGCAATAAAATAAGCAGTAATA